TACATTATAACACAAATACTTACAAATCAATCCTGCAGCAACAGTGTGTATGAGCACCAGTATCGGGTAGAAGTACAACGCACAGTATATGGCTTTCTTGCCAGAACTGGAGGAGTGCCACGCTAGCAGCCATGGCCTCAGTGTTATGGTCATCAGCAAACTAAAGACGTATATTAGCAAAACTATTGTATACCTGGAAAAAAAATATACTTTAGTGAAATTGACACATTAATATCTGTTGTCAGTTATGCAGCTGAGAACATATCAAGGGAAATAGACACATCAATATGCAGTAGCAGTGTGTAAATAGCTATTTTACAACATACAGGTACAATCCAATGTACCATTGACAACTCTGCTCTATTTTAACGTACTGAGGGGCTATTGCCTTCTTAATTAAAAAACAAGAATCTAAATAATATTATACTCACAGAGGATACACCGCTTCCTGAGTGCAGTGCAGTGTCTCCTTATAGTCAGGCTGTGGGTTATGCAGCAATGTGTACCAGTCGGACAGGGCCTTCGGTGTACACACATGCAGCGCTATAGTGCCAGCCGGGGGCAGCACTAGGAGTGCAGCAAGAGTCCCTGACACCACCTCTCCAAATGCACACAAGTGCTGGATCACGATTCCTTCTCTGCTGGAATTTGGATGTTGTTTAGTCATAATGAGATGAAGTAAATAAGAAATAGTGAAATAATTCAAATAAGATTTTTTTATGTAAGCACCTACCTACTATCTAACATATTGTTTTCATTCTGTTTCAAACCGATATCAGCTGATTAAGCTTAATTTCCTTGTTAAAAAAACCAAACTATTGGTTTGTTTCAGTTAACTTGCTCAATTATGTTCCAAAACAACAACTAAGCTTACCCTTTGCCTGCAGAGACCATATCAATGAAAAACCAGTGCAAAACTAGCGGCAATAGCACCATAAACCCTAGATACTGCCAATCGTACAGGGTAGGCTCATCGGCGCAAGGGGTGCAGTAGCTGGATGCATTTGTACGGAACCCCCTAGGGCAGGCTCCGCAGTCACTCCAGATGCCATCTTCAAGCTCCGTACGGCCGCAGTATAGCCCAGGACATGTCCTTACAGCAGACATTATTTGATTCAATTCTGGAGTAACACTTTGCGTTAATGCATGTTTATGGATAACCGTATTACGAATATAGCCTGTTACGTAAAATTAATATCAATATTTTATCATGGTGATGGACACAAATATTGATGAGGAACTGTAATTTCAAAACAAATTCACTGAATTTTACTGTAAACACTGCAATGCCAAAAAAAAAATTGACATTGACAGTTAATTTTGACAGATCAGTGACAGCAGACTTTTTTTTAATAGCATGGATATAAGTACTTAAACAGTCTAAAACAGAATTATTATTATGGATCTTTCTTGGAAAACTAAATTTAGCCAGTTGGGCAACAAAATAAAGCGAAATGAGAGATCGTTTTTAGACTTAACATTTATTATTTATTTAACATTGCTATAGACATGATGACCCTACTCTACAGTGGCGACTGGCGCCATCTTGGAGAATGCAAATGTGATAGTCTTCTTACCGCTTTAGCGCTCACCAGTTGGCGCCACTGTCTTCACCACTCACACTGCAGTACCGTCAATTATTTACGACGGTCGACGACGGGGGTGCCCTCTCAGACGCATAACATTTTTCATCATAATTTAGTTTGGCATAACAGTATTTGCATAAAGTTTTTTCGCATAATCTTTGATATGCATAGTTTTCTAAATGCATAATGGTTTCTTAGGCATAATAATAACTTTCTCTAATTTTCAATATCATAATTTAAATAATCATAAATGTAAAGAACATAATTTTTATATACATAAAGTTTGTTTTTAATAAAATACTATAAACATAATTTAATTATTTATAACATTTAAAGTCATAAATATTGTCTATAAGAGCAACCAACATTGAAGAGTAAATAATTATGTATTTGTGATGTTGCGAACGATCCTCCTTCCACCTTTATACTCTTTCGGCCTATAGATTTGCAAAAACTAAATTCTCTGTATCATTGTCATTTTTTTTCTTAATTTTTGACCTGTCTCTTAGAAAACTTAAGCTCGTGAAAATACATTCTGTTTGATCTCGAATCCCTCTTAGGGGGCGTCCATAAATTACGTGAGACTTTTAGGGGGGGGAGGGGGTCAACGAAAACCTCACTTAATCTCACGGAGAGGGGGGGTCTCGGAAAATATCACGTAATTTTTCCCGCAAGAAATAGAGTAAAATTGCCAGAAAACTGGGTTATAGAAGTAAAAAAAAAATGATTTTTTTATATGATGATAATGACAATTTATTCTAAACCGTCTAATCAAATGAAACTAAAAATGCCTCCATCTGCATTTGTGAACACTAAAGATGCAGAATAAGTGTCGAAATTAAGAAAATTCGAAATTAAAAAAAAAACCTCATCGGCATCGCTATTGCGTAAAAAATTGGCCAAGTGCGTGTCGTGCCACGCGCAGTGTAGGGTTCCGTAGTTGTCTGTCGTTACCACAATATATTTCAGAAGCAAGCAATTACTTCATCTAAAGTCACTTTTCATATTTTCTTGTAAGGAATTTTTACTGGTTAAGAAATTGTATAATACATGAGTCAAATGACTATTACTCTTAAACTAAGTAATGTATCTTAACCGTTATGGTGCACCATTATAGTTTTCCTTGAATAAATTCATCCCCACTTTACATGCAGGGGAGCTACCCTAGAAATTTTTTTTTCAAAATTTTATTTTACCGTTTTGTCGGCGTGCTTAATATACATTATACATACCTTCACAAAATTACAGCTCCCTAGTGCCAATAGTTTCCAAGCGAAACCTCGGACAGACAGACAGACATATCGAAACCATAAGGGTTCCTTGTCAGGACTACGGAACCCTAAAAAAATGACATTACATACGTATGAAAATATTATGTATTCGTAGTTAAAGTAACCAATAGTCAAATTTGATAGATGTCAAATGACAAGTGGTTAAATAACAGAAAAAAATGTTTTTATAACAATGTTTAACTTGACTTTTAGTACATTTTTTAACTATTAGTTTACATTTTATTAATATTTAACCATTAGTAGCAAAATTTAACAACTAGTTATTTTAACTCTGAATAAAAAAACTGGTCCTAGGTTGAAGCAATTGCTTGTATTACCAGGCCTGTTCATCTCCGCGAGTTTACATCGAAAACAAAACACGCACGATGGCCCACCTACAGGATACTATTCGACAAGGCCTCACATACGAGCGAACATTGACTCACGCACGCGTATTCTTGTGTATGATGGAAGAAAATAAAGAAAATGGTGTTCTAAATACTGTGCAGTATTTAACTGCTTAAATAAGAATAAAAACACAGAATGTACTTTTTTAAGTTGCCTCAAGACACTGAGAGGTAAATAAGTAGTTAATATTATTCATGATAATTTATGCTAAATCATGTATTTCCTCCGCCATTTTCCGCAGTTTGGCACCTCACGTCACATCATTTTACCGAAGTCAGCCCTATAGCTTCGGCGCAGTGCCGATCACTGACGTTTGTCAACAAAATGGTGCTTGACTCTTGAGACAGGCTAAATTACACCATATTGTTAATGACATTGAGCATACATTTTTTTAAATACCTTCGCGAAGTAAAACTTCTGTACGTAGTACTTATTATTATTCTGTGGTCTTACTAAACGACGGGAAGCTACGGAACCCTGCACTGCGCGTGGCATGACACTGGGTTAATGATTTTTTCATATAAATCTAATAGACTCGAAGCATAGACATTGCAAAATAGGCATTTTATTAAATATCACGTGAGATTAGGGGGGTGGGGGAGGGGGTCAGGCAAAATCTCACCAAATCTCACCAAGGGGGGCGGGGGGGTTGAAAAATGGCCAAAATTGTCTCACGTAATTTATGGACGCCCCCTTATCTATTATAACGCACATATTATACAGTCCACATTTCTTTTACAACATTAAGCTTGCCTGGTCTGAAATTATGTTGATCCCGACTGGCCGTGGTCTCTTCCACGTGGTACTAGTCAGCCCTATACTAGAGTGTAATTTAAAAGCCGGAGGCGCGGAGGGAGTGCGGTCCTCGCTCGCTGTAACATATATCCGGCAGCCGTGCGAGCTGGAGCGGCTGAGGCTGGTCGCCGAAGGCGACCAGCAAGCCGAAGCTGCGGAAGCGAGCATGGCATGCCGGGTATATGTTACGCCAGAGCGGAAGGACCGCACTTCCCGCAGCGCCGGAGATAAGGCAATCCTAATGCTTGCTTGCATGCTTGCTTGCATGCATGCTTGCTTGCTGCTTGCTTGCTGCTTGCTTGCATGCTTGCGTGTTTGCTGCTTGATTGCATGCTTGCTGCTTGCTTGCATGCTTGCTTGCTGCTTGCTTGCATGCTTGCTTGCTGCTTGCTTGCTGCTTGCTTGCATGCTTGCTGTTTGATTGCATGCATTCTGCTTGCTTGCATGCTTGTTTGCATGCTTGCTTGTCTATTTATATTTGTTAACTTATATTTTATGTGTACCTATAACATTTTTATATTTCATATTTGTTAAAATTATGGTATTTTGTATTATGAATGGTAATATTTATGGCATTGGTTTAGATGCCAATAAATGTTATGCCTAGAAATCGTTATTAAAAAAAACAAGAATACGGAAAAAATATATACCTACTAAAATATTGTTATAATAAAAGTGGTTATGGCAAAAAAAATATGCCTTATGATTTATTCTGTATGAACGTTATGCGAAATGATGAGTAGGTATGCCAAAAAACTTTATGCACTCTTAAATTATGACAATATTTTTTATGCAACCGAATATGGACCCGTCGACGGGACCCTCATCATCACTTAATTTAAAATTACGTAAACGTGTACCCACAGTACTTAATTATGATGAGCTATGATAAATTGATCTTGTTCGATTAAGTAAAATGAAAACGACTGCAAACATGTGCATTTATTAACTTTTAATAATAAACTTGTTTCTTTTTTCAATTTCCATCACATAGGTAGATTACATTCATAAAGTTAATAATGATTACATTAGTTTTCCTTTTATAGAGCTTTGAATTTTCCACTCTCGTCAAAACGCTTCCCAAAGAAACGGGAAAGGAGACGCCTAACGATATAACGTAAAATTAAGAAGGCCAGGAAAATGAACACCAAAATAACCGCGCCAAGGGATAACGCGATATCCAGCATGAAGTATTTGGTAAAGCTGCTGCCAACGGCGGAAGATCGGAGGTGACGAGCCCCTTTGTTGCTCAAGACATACTCGGTCCACCACGTAGCAGTTTCAGGGCCTGATATTGCTGGATCGAAAGCCGCACGCCTCAGTTTCGACATGGATATTTTGTACCTGACAACAAAAATTTAAGAATTAAGATACAATTTAGTGTCCTTAAACGGCAATAAAGTAAGTTATGTTATGAAACAACAAATAAAGTATGTTAAGAATTCTATTTCTTTACTCATGTGCTCATTGATCTGTCACTAGAAGAAACATGCAATTTAGGCGAATTCGCCTGCCATTTCTAGCGACATCCCGGAAGATTGATCCACAGCGGTTTAATATTGACCTTAGTCAACAGCTCAATACAAGGTTCGAATTCATAACACAGGATATAACAAGGAAATACTTTGAGTACTTAGGTACGTAATATAAGTAGGTACAGTTTGCTCTTTAACTTACTGTTCATTTGTAACAACGGCTTCGATCGTCGACTTCACTGTTTCCTTCTCCAAATTGTAAGGATCTAATAACTCTCCTGCCCCAAACTTAGTGATTTGTTCAATGAAAGTTTTTGTAGGCTTTTGCAGTGGAAAGCCAATTATTGGTACTTCGTAAAAAACAGCTTCCTCCAAAGAGCGAGATCCACCGCTTGTAATGAAGGCTTTAACGTTTGGATGAGCTGAAATAAAAAAATAAAAGTTTACTTAAATCCTATTTTACACAAAGGGCTAAGCTAGTTAAGTTATTTTAACTTTAGCTCATCTCAAATATCTGAGTTGGGTGCAGACTGCAAACAATACATAAGTATTAAGTCATGTTTGCGTGTAGTAAATTAGAGGTGGTCGTGCTTTTGCAGTAGAGGCTGAATACATGACCTGGTCAATACGAGTATGTCGATCTTTATAAATTAAACGTAATCTAACGTTGTATACCTACCTAAGAGATCAACTTTTAAACAGCATAATAAGAGACTGAACCCAAACCCTGATTAAATGACAACTTCTGTACCTTCAAGTAGGTAACTTACCAAGAATTTCTTGCTGAGGGAACCACTGTTGAGCCAAAACGTTGTCGGACTTGTTGATCATGGTGGTGTTCGCGATCTTCCACAGGATAGTGTAGGGTAGTTCGCGGAACGCATCTGCCAAGGTGTTCAGGATAGCGGGTGCCAGCATTTCTGGCTCTTGCAGAGCACCTAAGCTGAAGTACACAATTCCCTTTGTGGCCGAGTCCAAAAACGTTTGCAGGTTCTGAAAGAAAGAGCAATAATATTATTGTAGTAAATACTACAAGGTTCATCTCTTAATTTTTAAACATTTATATGCTTAAGTAGGTAAGTCTTAAAATTACGTGTCAGATAATAATATATGAGTATTAACCTGTTGCTATGATTAAGTGTAGGACGAGAAATCGTAGGTTCGATTATCGCGTCGCGAACACTATTTCGTCCGTTAAAGGACAATGGGCAAAATGGTACCCGGCTCCAATAGATATGCTTCTAGTGTCGTTTGAAAGGTCTTACCAAGACGAACAACTTTTACTATGGCCACCAGGCTCAGATCTGGTTGTGTTCGAAGATAAACATACTTTTTTGAAAAATGGTACCCGGCTCCAATAGTTATGTTTGTAGTGTCATTTGAAAGGTCTTACCAAGATGAACAACATTTACTATGGCCACCAGCCTCAGATCTGGTTGTGTTCGAAGATAAACATACTTTTTGTGTAACCTAAGTATCATACGTGTCCATCGTATGGTACTTAGGTTATGCGAGGCATGAAGGGTTTACTGCTCCAGCATCCTTCCATAACTCTATAATTATTGATAGGGATAGTTGTGAAATAAATGTTTTTATTTGAAGAACTACTACCCCCCCATATTAATAAAAGGTTATACCTAGGATGAACCTTGGATTAATATGACATTTCCATACCAAATGACAAGTTAAACCAGAGTTCAACTAGGGTGTAACTTTTATTAATAAAGGGGTTGGAGTTTTATAACTTCTTAAGGGTTTTATTATGGGTTGCTAAAGCGAATAAATCCACAAGACCCAATAAGTCTACCCACAAGATGGACCGACGACCTCATAAAGGTAGCGGGAAGGCGCTAGATGCAGGCCGCCACCAACCGGCCATTGTGGAAATCATTGGAGGAGGCCTATGTTCAACTGGACGTTCTATGGCTAAAATGATCATGATGATGATGATGAAAGCGAATAAAGAGCTAATAGCTTGGGTAGTTCATCGTAGGTATAATCCTTTCCTTTCCAATGCTTATTTTAGTTATATTAATAGATTGTAGTCATAATACATACTCGTATACATGGATGATTGTGTTATACTTTCATTATAATACTTAGTGGAATTACTGCTTTCAAAACGTGAATTAGAACTGGCCCCATAGCAGACATTTTCCTACATCTAAAGACCTTTTGAAATATATATTGGTTATGGCTATTGGAGCGGGTACCACTTTCCATACATTGTTGCCCATCATCCTTAATAAGGCAATGAGGTGAAGCTGTCTGCTTACTCGTTAACTGTATTATGAGTCGACTAAGCACCTACCACAGCATCTACTTTCGTGAATATTATCATACATAGGTACTAACTTTAATGAAACATTAGAAACCTATATTATTACCTGAGGCAGATGAAGACCTGGTCTAAGATGCAAGCGGTCTACGTATCTAATCGCTGGAACTGTAGGTCTATTTCCGAGCAAAACTGGATTATTCGCAACGAAGAGCATATCAATATCTTGCTCCACTTCTAGAAGACTTCTTTTCATATCAAAGATTTTCTTAGCGGCAATATCACAGAGTGGTTGGAAGTTGTAATAGTAATCGTTGTATGTTTGAATATGACGATAGAACTCCACCAACTTCTCCCAGTTGGACATTTGTCCACTGTTCAAAGAGTTCACGTCGAGGTAATATGCTGGGTGAATGGGGTTACCTTTAGCTTCATACTGGTGCAATTTACCGCTCGATGTAGTGAATGCAATGTGAGGAGCCTTGTATTTCTCGGCAACCGCGTACAAGAGCGGGACATCAGCTTCAGTCACCACCAAATCAAACTTAATATTGGGGTTAATGAGTAGAGCTGTCATTTGCTTCGATCTTAACTGGGCGATGGCTATTTTCAATTTCAATTCATTGATAGCTCGTATTCTAGGCAAATAGTCGTTGACGTTGGTCATCAAGTCCTTATGATCGTCCCAGTATTGTCCTGACTCCTGGCTTACATCTAGCTCTACAATTCTTTCGACATCAGGATATTGGAAGTGGCCTGGATATGCGGTCATCAGCACCACGGAGTGTCCTTTCTGTGCGAGTTGCGACACATAGCCTCTAAATACTAAATGGTCAGAATAAGACAGAGATGAGATGAGGACTAATATGGACGCCGCATTTGCAGCGCTGCACAGGTAAAGTAATATGAACAGTCCACTAAACTTCAACACGCCCATTTTTCACTATTTTAACACTATTACTTAACGTCCGTCCAGCATCGACGTGGAATATAAAAGGCCATATTAAGAACCAGGTGGTTTTCACTGTGGACAAAACACCTGTACAAATAACTAGCAAAATGCAAAGAATTATGAAGCGGACAGACCTAGAAATGAATCGAAACAATGAACAATCAAATATTTCCCAAGTGTAGCGTGGTCATGATCTTTTAGTACTTACTTACTTGTATTAACACATTACAATTTGATCTAGCTCTAGGTAGGTAAGTACTTAGTGGTTAGACTCTAATAAACGCTCTTGGCCCGGAGGTCCTGGGTTCGATTTTTAGGTGAAAAACTCAGTGATTAAAATCCAGATGTGAACCAAACCCTTAACCCAACGTAGAGGGTATCATACTACCTAAGCCTAATTTTCCCTTACGGGAATTGAATTCCAAAACCGAACTAATATAATATCTTACATAAGTACCTATTAGGTAGCTTTACCAGAATACCGAAACAAAAATAATTTTGTAATTTGTATCGATAGCGCATTGACGATAGTTATGAGTTAAATGTTCGTTTCTCTCTATCTATATCTCTATTTAAAAAAAATGGTATCCAACGGCAACGAATTGCTAAACAAACGCAACCATGGCGACTGTCAACACTGCATTAAAAACAAACTTCGTGTATCAGTTCACGATTATTTTGGAAAAAGGCAAAAGCCTTTGAATCATGGATAGCACAGTGGCTAATTATTCGGTAGTAGGCCGTATTGGGGAGGGCGCTCATGGACTGGTCTTCAAAGCCCGCCACCTGCCCACTGGACGGGAAGTGGCGCTCAAGAAAATACTCATCAAAAACCTTGAAGACGGCATCCCTGTTAATGTTATGAGAGAAATAAAAGCGTTGCAGCTACTTCGTTGTAAATATGTAAGTATGAAACTGGATTTAGCATGGCTGAGTGTTCAGCACTAATTAATAGTGAACTTTTATGCCTACCTTCCTAACTTTTACACCATGCATGCGTATAGCCAATCGTATAGCTAGGTAACTACTTTGTAATAAACTTTATATCGTCAAATCGCTATCGGGTAAACGCCCTCCTTTAACTCCTGTTGCAACCTCCAGCTAACGGCTATCTGCAACACTAATCAGGTCGTCCGTTTAATAACGGGTATCTGGGTAACTTCTTTCTGCTTTCAGATCATCAAGCTATACGACATGTTCCCCCGCGGAATGAGTCTGGTGCTGGTGCTAGAATACATGTGTTCAGGGTTATGGGAGATGCTGCACCACAGCCAGCAAGAGCTCACGCTGCCCAGAGTGAAGACCTATGCGCAAATGCTACTGAAGGGAACGCGGTATATGCACGCTCACTACGTTATGCACAGGGTAATTATTAGACCCTTAGGTCAGGTTCTAACCCACAAGCGAGACCATCCTACTAATATTATAAATGCGAAAGTTTATGTGGATGTCTGGATGTTTGTTACTCTTTCACGCAAAAACTACTGAACGGATTTTGTTGAAACTTTTCAGTATTGTTGTTTATAACCCAGATTAACATATAGGCTATATTTATGACGATTTGTGAAAAACTAAATTCCACGCGGGTGAAGCCGCGGGCAAAAGTTTCAAATAGAAATGTCCACTGCTGGATAGCAAGGCTTATGTCCACTGCTAGAGTTTAAGGATTCCCCCAAAGATTTTCACACTGACCGACCCTGCGCTACCCGCATTCAACTTACGGCCGCCGTATACGCCGTATTACGACGGCGACTACTTAAGCCCTACTTACTGAATAATGATTTGATTTGAAGGTAGACATACAATATAATAATGACAAAACTAAATTTAATAATTTACAGGATTTAAAACCGGCAAATCTACTGATCAACCATGAAGGTATACTAAAGATTGCAGACTTGGGTCTGGCGCGTCTCTATTGGCCTGACGGCGGCAGACCCTATTCACACCAAGTAGCTACAAGGTAATAAGCCTTTAATGCTGTCTTAACCATAAGACCTAGGAGAAAGTAAACAGACCAGTACCTAATACAACTAATTTTTGGTTCAAAGGTGGTACCGTGCCCCAGAGTTGCTTTATGGCGCACGATATTACACGGAAAAAGTTGACCTCTGGGCTGTGGGATGCATTATAGCTGAAATGATAACTAAACAACCTCTATTCTCGGTAAGTAACGAAGCAAGAACCTTGCACATACCATTTTTTGATGAATTTAACAAAAACCTTTTTTAGGGTGAATCTGACATAGAACAACTGGCAATAGTGCTTCAACACCTTGGGACGCCTACAGAGGAATCGTGGCCAGGTCATAAAGACCTGCCAGACTACCACAAGATCACCTTCCCAGAGTCCTCGCCAACACCCTGGTCGGAATTGTTGCCTGGAGTCGAGCCTGATGCGATACATCTGATTAAATCCTTCATACTCTACGACGATAACAAGAGGATATCAGCTAAAGAGGTATGCTTCCAGTCATAGGTATGAAATTCACACGTAAAAAAAAGTTGGATCACATCTCGCCCGCCTTGGTAGGTCCAGACTTGTTAAAGTTAACTTTGATCCTGCAGGTATAGCATTTTTTTTATCGTGTGGGATTTATCAAGCATGAAATAGTATAAATAAAATTTATCTTTCAGGCATTGAGGCACCAATGGTTTCAAAACAGGCCACACCCCGCGTCATTAGAGGACATGCCCAAGCCAACGCCAAATAAATCAAAATAACTATGAAAAATAATTTATATGAAAATTAATTAAATGAAAAACGAAATTCGTCATAAAATGCTTTTTATTCATTGCGAATCACTTATGCAATAGCTAATAAGATTACAAGTAATTACAATAAGGAATTGTACTCTTTCATCTATGTACATTTTGAGCCAGAACATTGAAGAATTAAGTATTTACTAAAAGCTGGATTGCGGGATAAAATGCGCAGACATAGGTACGACTTAAATAACAAATAAGTACCTGCACCTAAGTAAAAAAATAATTTATAACGTTCTCTAGAGCGATTAAAGCATTTAATGTAGAATTAATAAAGTTCCTGCATTTGCTCGATTTTAATGAAATAAATTGCTCTAGAGATTTATTAAATTTTATGTAATTTCATAATTACCCATTTGAAACTTATCAATTTGTTCAACCATAGACAAAATACATTTTCTTAGATTTTTTTATATTAGCCACAAGTGACAATCACGAAGGAAATACTGCGCCACCGCAATCCAGAATGTGTCCGTACAAAATCCATAATATTTTGTATGAGATAATATTTTTCTATAAAACCTAAAATACAATTGATAAGAAAGAAATAATAATATCGCCAGATGAAAACAGAATATTTTATCATTGAATGTTTTTCACTTTCTTTTAATAAATTAATCTATAATAATTAGGTATACGAATTCTATTTACTAACAATCATTAACCATAATGCTTTGAAAATTATCTGTTTTCAACTAGTTTTTAGGATTGACATTTAAATCACTTAAAAATATTTTTAGAATACGGGACACTGTTATTATAAAATTGACATAAATATAGTTTGTCGCACAAATGCAGAGCAAAATTACAATAACATAATAAGGTATAAGAGATCAAAATCTAAATATTCCAACATGTAAGTAAATACAGGTATAATAACATATTTTATGTGCCTTTGAAGAATTTCTATAATAATATTTCCTTAATTTGTATTAAATTACAGAAAACCCCCAAAATTACAGAAAACAACCCTAAAATAATTTAAATTAATTAATATAATACACTAAGGGAGAAGCGAAAACAAAATTATGGTAACAAAGCATATTATTCAACATTACAAACGAGAGTTTTAACGATTTACCACAAAATATCCAGTACATTGCTCAGTCAGTACTTTCTAGGACATAGTATTATTTAAGGAAAGGCCATGGATTATGAGGTAATTTTATAGTGTTATATTAAACTATTCGACTATACTATTCTCGGGTCCGTATTATGAAACGAACCTCAAAACTGGATTTAAACACACCTAAACTTATATTCGAATCAAGTTTGAGCGTAGTTTCAGAATGCGGGCCTCCATTGTGTTTCTTCATTCCTACCATTATTCCAATTCATACAGCTGAGAAATATAATGTAATTCACCACAATTCAATCAAGAAACTGCAAATAACGTTTGAGATTTCGATGCAGTTTCTCTTTTTATAATGGTCTTTACTTTATGTTCCTCAGACACCCAACCTTGGTCAATACAACCTATATACAATAAAATATCTACATCTATAATTTAGATAAAAATAGAATACTAGCACAGCCATTGCTACTACAACTAAAGTTCAGTAACATTGGGCTTTGTCGTACTGACGACAACGGCGCATCAAGCCAAACGTTGTGGCACCTTTATGTAGTTCCAATAGGCGCTATTTTCCAACAAAAATGTATAGCCTGATGTGCTATCGATGGTACAATTGTAACGAATATACCATAAAGTATTAATTCAAAAGTAAGCGATGGCTTCGATCAGAAATGCGTAACCGATATTTTAAGAAGCTATCACGCTTAGGCATACGTGCTATACTTTTCAAATTTTAACCAGCCGGGCTAGGTTGCGCGCCGTGACAAAATCTTATCGATTTTAGACGACAAATGTATGGGCTTATCGCGTACAATCGATAAAATGACGTGATAAACTCTTATCGCGGTGCGCATCCTAGGTCTACTGGTGACAATAACAGTCTAACCCTAGCTTGCATCATCTTACATTAACTATCTATAGCAAACTTCAAGTCTGTTACTTGTCAAAAACACTAGTTATAGTTAAAGTTAAGGTGATCCAACTCAGCGTAAGAATTTCAGGCTTGTTCCCATACTAAACTATGAAACAGACTTCCTTTAGTTAGTGGAATAATAAAACATCAAGTATTAAATTGCAAACTGCATAACATGCTACATTTCATAAAGGTGATTATTATGTTTTTCATAAGTGTACCTACACAAGTGCTTTTGGAAAATAGGATCATAATATGGGAACAAGCCGAATTGCATTATTTACACTAATTTTGACGTGTTACTTATAAGTACAAAATTCGATTACGCAAATTTATTAGCTATCAATTAGCGCCACTTACACGTTTTTAAATCAAGTTTAAAACATCATTATAATTTTACTATCTCTATTGTTTTCAAACAGGTTGACAGAGACAAAATAAAGTTTTAAACAATCTTTAATTTCATTAAATTAAATGTGCTAGTGGCCTTAAAATCCAAGTACTAAAATATCGGCAATTTTAGTAAAGTCTGTGCACTATCGCTACAATTTACATCAGGTACTTGGAAGCCTACCCGATACGATTTGCCATCACTACAATAAACATACATCAGTTTTATGTATGGCAATTAAATTTCCTGGACTGGCTATACAATGGGTTCTATATTGGCTCACATAAAATTCTAAATCCTATTCTTTGTCTTACTACCGATTTGTGTTCATAATAATCTCTCTTCATAATTTTATTTTTCATACTTTTTTTATTCATACATTTTTATTACTACCATCGGAGCTCATAACAGTTAGTGATCATAATTTTTTTATCAATACTGTTACTACCAAGAAACATTTAAAATACATAATTTTTATTTTCAGATCTTTTTTCTTCATAACATTCATTGATCATATTGTTTTAATTAATAATGTTGTTACTAAGAACATACTTCAACTCATAATGTTGTTGTTCAGAATAATTTACTTTATAACAGACATACTCGTATCTTTAAAAAAATCATATATAATTTAATAGAGTAGATAAAAGCATGCAGAGCATGCAGCATGAAAGCTAGCATGCAGCATGCATTGGTATCTCCTCGTCTCCGGCGCTGCGGGATGTGCAGCCCTTCCGCCCTTGCGTAACGAGGCTCGGGCACCCACGCTTGCTTCCGCAGCTTCGGCTTTTTGGATCGCCATCGGCGCCTTCGGCGCCTCGGCGACCAGCCTCAGCCGCTCCAGCTCACCCGGGCGCCTGAGCCTCGTTACAGCGGGCGAGGGCTGCCCTCCCTCCGCGCCTCCGGCTTTTAAATTACACTCTAGGGGTAGGGCAGACAAGACTACGTGGAGTCGGTTTTGCAGCGATTCGTTTCTGTCACGTTAGTTTTGTGGCACAAAATATTGCCTGTTTTGGACCATTTCAAATTAATTTAATGTTAAAATACGATTTAATACGAATATAGACATCATGATTTTCAATAATATGGATAAATACACTTATGAGTAATAAATTTATGAAAACAAATATTAGGATACATCACATTTATGAATATTATAGTTATTTATTCGAATGATTATGAGTTTCGATCATTAGTATAGAAAAATATATGAAAACAAATATTAGTAAAAACTAAGTGTATGATTAGTGATATTATGAATATCAATGATTATATTTTTAAATATGTAGGTTTTAAATTTTTTATGAAGAATGATCATTATGGTATCAAATTGTATGAGAAATATTTTCGGACCTCCAATGATAGGAATTGAAAAGTTATGTAAGAAAATGCGCTACCTATACAATGTCTTGATTTAATTACACATCTCTATCTTTCTCTTTATTATAGATAACAAATGCCTTCTCCTTTGATAGAGATTGTGTCAAGAGATGGGTCCGCAATAGAAAGTGAACAAGTGTCTTTCATTACTGTTGATATTTAGTCACAATTTGACCTCAAATAGTATCTCAAATCTTTATTTATAGAGGTAGAAGCTATACACGCTTGTCTGCCTTTACTGTGTACTAGTCTCGTCTTCACAAGATATTTCATTACGAAATCGGCAAAATAATCTTCGACACTGATAACACTAAATATCTTTTATTATTTATGCAATTTTAAATTTAGAGATCCAAAACTTCACATAAATAACACGTATATTTTTATCCAACTTGGTTTTAATTTCATTAATTAATAACATTAATTTTTACAACATACAATTATATAAATTTCGGCAAAAAATACCTACCTGTATTGGTCCATAGAAAATAAGCGTCTGTATTACATTTTATTCAAGGGGGATTTTAAAACAATTCCAATAAATTACAATATACAGCCAGTCCAGCATATTACTGCCTAAGTGTCAACCTCCCAAACGCGGTTCTGGTTAATGGCGTCAACTAATACCCTACCCTACTAACCATTGTCCAAAACAAATTGTAACTAACAAATGACAACCAACATAATTATTATTATAGCCAGTCCAGCGTATTTATAGCCAGTCCAGCGTCCTCCTTCCCCTATTTGACTAATTGCGGCGGTGTGCAGATAGTGGTGGATGGTAAAAACTAATGACAACATATCCAGAGTCCCCAATAGCACTAGTTAGTTAGTAACAAGCCCGAGGCGCTTGGTAATGTTTATTAATAATTATTTTGCTATCGCGGCTGTGCGACGGGCGCTCGCGCGTACGCGCGAGCGATAAGGATGGGTAGCTTGGGGTCATTGGACAAAATACTACGTGCTCGCAGATCAACCTATTGCGTTGCGCCCCAGCCGGCGTTGTCCCCCCCCCCCCTCGTTCCCTCCTGTCCCCCCTCTACTTAACTAGTTGCGCACCCACCCTGCGGTGTGAAGGTAGTGCCGGATGGCCAGGTCGAGCGAGGCTGTCTCCATACAAAATGACAGCTAATTTATAGTTCCATGGACAATCGTATCTGCCTACAGCGCCAAAATGGAAATGAAATAGGCACAAAAATATTATGACAGCAAAAAATCCAGTGACAGGTCAGTGCAGCTAACAGACTGCCCCCTCCCCTCTCCCTCACTAAAGCCCGGTCTGTGCGCACGTAGAATTTTGTCCAATGACCCCAAGCTACCCCATCCTTATCGCTCGCGCGTAATTATTTTGCTATCGCGACTGTGCGACGGGCACCCGCAGTGAGTGTGCGAGCGCGACAGCAACATAATTGGGTATTTGACACCATTTCCCAATAATAATAATTCTAAAGCACAACTTTTTTAAAAAGACACTTCTTTCTGTTCTTGACAACTTAATTAATTTTTAATTACCTGTAAATTACTATTTTTGGTTGCATTGTAATTGAAAAAAGTATTTTCATTGAAATGATAAAATTGTGACGTCACATGCTAGTATTGCCGTACAAAATCTATGGGAGAGCGTCGTTTTGACAGTTTTAAAAAGTACGTCAATTGATTGGTGGTGTCAAATACCCTATTACGCGCGAGCGATAAGGATGGGTAGCTTGGGGTCATTGGACAAAATTCTACGTGCTCGCAGATCAGACTATTGCGCACTCAGCCGGCGTTGTCCCCCCCCCCCCTCGTTCCCTCCTGTCCCCCCTCTACTTAACTAGTTGCGCACCCACCCTGCGGTGTGAAGGTAGTGGCGGATGGCCAGGTCGAGCTCGCTGTCAGGCGCCGGCGGCCGGCGAAGCAGCACGCCCTTCATGGTCACGTATTGCGCCGGCGGCAGGCTCAGCGACGAGCACAGCTGGGGACAGCGGATTAATGAAATTAGAGACATAATAGCACAGGTCTGTCGCAAGTCCACAACTGACTTAAATGACGTTTCATCCGAGGAAATGTCATCTTCGGATGAATTATCTCTCTTTCAAATTGTTATGTGTCCGAATCATCTCCAAAATATGTTTTTTTCTGAATATGTGATTCTTATGCCCGTTTTCACCATCAATCCCTAATTTTTAAGTGACCTCTATGGTAACAAATAACAGGAATTTTGTTGTCAAAGAGGTCACCTCAAAATTAGGAATTGATGGTGAAAACGGGCATTAGAGTGCTTTCACATTTAGGCGACTTTAGCTGCCGATAATTTCATACTATGTGACAGCGGATGCATGCCTTCACATTATAAAAACGCCGCTGCCGCGCTGCTGTCGCGATTCTAACGTCCTAATGTGAAAGCGGCCTTACCTTTGTCCTTTCCATTATTACTATTTAATTAGATTAATTATATTTCGGATGATCGGACACTTCTAAGCCAGGGTTTCACGGCGAATCCTATAGAGCCAGGATCTACAGTTAGGCCTCCAATAAAAACCAACCAGTGAAGATTGAATACTCCCGGATAGATACATAGACATCTTGGTTCATCATTCTGATAGCGATGAGCTGAAGACAGGGTGAAATGCCGCGTATTGGAGCTTATTTAAAAAGATAATAACGACTAAAATAGACTCCAAACAGTCACAAAAATGGTAACGGACGAGATAAACATTTCCGCTGTATAAGCAAAATCATCCTAAAAATAAAAATCGCTAAAACCAATCAATCAAGCAAATTAAATTATGCTATCCGTGGCGCTATTGCGTCAGCCACACAAGGTCGCGCCCGCAATAATTCACAACATTGCAAATACTTCACGACTCCGCGAAAAACACTGCCCATTTAGCACAAATACGGATGTTATTTGTAGTTTGTACAATCAATTTACTATCGATAAATAATTATTTTTTTCTCACATGAATAGTAGGGTGGTCCTTATTCCTACGAAAAAAATATTTTTTCTTATATTTTGCGGGGCACCACATTATTTGAATATATACCATATGAAAGTCTTTCATTTTTTTTTTTTTTAATTTTTAAAAGACATTTAGGGGTCGCTACCAAGGTTTGAATTTTAAGTAAAAACACAAAATCTGTATTTGTTGGATTCATTTATTTTTAAAGCCAAAGCCAAATAAAAATATTACAAAATTATTGTTGTTGCTATGAACTAACATATTATGTACAATGTACATATTTGAATCAATTATTTTTAAGATATAAGAGTTTACTTGTTAGTATCTCGACGCGTCGGTACCATGGTCGGTACAGAAGAGGGGTTGAGGGGAGAAGGGGACAAGAAGCGATTGTCTATTCTATCTATGCGATGTTCATTTGCATGTAAAATGTGATATAAACACTTAAATAAAACATTTTAGAAACCATGATTTAAGATCTTCAAAGCTTTTGTAAATATTTTGACAGCTGGTAGCGACCTCTAAATCTTAACCAAAAAAAAAAACAAAAAAAGCTAATTTCATATTTAGAGGTATATAATCGAATGAGAAAGTGCCCCGGGGATAATTCAAAAGTCGAAAAATAAGGACCACCCTAATGAATAGTCTGCGAATATTATTAAAAAAATGACTTCCAAATAAAATAAAAAGAAATGCTATTTTGTTGGCAAACGCCTCCACTTTTACTCTAAATTAAATTTTTAAATAGAAGACGTTTTAGCATACTGCAAGATTTTGTTATACAGGGTTGTAATACGTTTTGATGGGATCGATACGATAGCATCTTTTTGCACAGTTAATTAAGCTGATTGTAAGCATCCACATGCGGTACTTGCGTCCCGTGTGCCCCGGGCTGCGGGACTCGCGACCCTAGTTCCTACGCCACAAGGAGTGTTGTCGCTCACCTGCGCACTATGATTCACGCTCCGTACTAAGGCGGCCATAAATACTTAACATCAAAATAAAGTGGTTTTCTTTATTTTATACGTTGAAACATGTTAGAATATACACAATTNGTCAAAGTAAATAAAAGCTTGTAGATAGCTTTACAAAGAAAAGAAAGATTTATGAAGAAAATAAAAAGTACTGTGGGTCTAGACAAAGTGCAAATTATAATCGCAAATCAGTCGAAAAGTGGTCGAAAAGCCCCTTTTTTGTATGGAATTTTGACGGATTCGATTTTCGATTCGATCAAAAAGTGCGTTTTGTCTAAGGGGGCTATCTACGATACATTTGTTAGGCCGTGTTGCATCGTCTTACTTTAACATTGACATCAAAATTTTGGATGTCAAAAATCTGTCTAACATAAAACACCGGTTATTGTCAGTTAGGGTCAAAGTTAGGTGGTGCATCTCAGCCTTAGTGTATTTTAATTAAATTAAATACAAATAAAGATGACAAAAATAATCGATAAGTGATCTCACTCGAATATTTCTTATAGTAGGTATACAAGATGTCGAACAAATGGTTACTTAGGTACTGAAAAAGTGCTTCATGAGACCTAGCAAATGGCATCAATAACATGTTTAAGAACGAACTGAAACAAACAAACACGAAATCAATGGTTTCTGAGAATTCTGAGTGCCTTAATGCCGTCCCCTTTATCTGTTTATAGTTCCTACGCCACAAGGAGTGTTGTCGCTCACCTGCGCCTCGTTACTGGTCAGCAGATGCCTCGAGCACGCGCCGCTGCATGAGCTCTTTCTGGAGCATCCACACGCGGTACTTGCGTCACAGAATAATAATAAGTACTACGTACAGAAGTTTTACTTCGCGAAGGTATTTAAAAAAATGTGTGCTCAATGCCATTAACAAAATGGTGTAATTTAGCCTGTCTCAAGAGTCAAGCACCATTTTGTTGACAAACGTCAGTGATCGACACTGCGCCGAAGCTATAGGGCTGACTTCGGTAAAATGATGTGACTGACTGTAGGTGGGCCATCGTGCGTGTTTTGTTTTCGATGTAAACTCGCGGAGATGAACAGGCCTGCTTGCGTCCCGTGTGCCCCGGGCTGCGGGACTCGCGACCGTAGTTCCTACGCCACAAGGAGTGTTGTCGCTCACCTGCGCCTCGTTACTGGTCAGCAGATGCCTCGAGCACGCGCCGCTGCATGAGCTCTTTCTGGAGCATCCACATGCGGTACTTGCGTCCCGTGTGCACCTTGGGCTGGTGGAACTTGAGCCGCTTTCGCCTTCTCTGTTTGGGAAAATAAATAAAAATTATAATGTGGCTCCATCCACGCCGACACTAAACACCAAAACATGTATTTTTATACTTATTACATTAGACAAATTACGCGAAAACTTTTCCGCTACAGTAAATTTTCTAATTTTATATTACAAGCTGAGCGTCACTGAGAAATTGCTCTTTTAACGGCACAACACACAGATGATTCCAGAGTGGTGAAGAAAAGCGTTATGAGTTTCATTTCCGAGAAAAAAAGATTGCCAGCCTACACCTTACACCCTATATGATATTGGCTACATACTATAAAATATCTTGCATGCAGTTCATCTTCAACCAACCTTTTTCTTTGCTGCTGCGTCGTGTTGTTCTGTTCTTTTGCTTGGATGCTGTCCAGGCACCCACTGCTGCCCTGGCGAATACAATCGTTATACGGGATCAAAGGAGACACCACGTGACATCCAACTAACTACAACATCTACTGGACACGACATAACCTACGTGAAGGAGTTTGATCCTTAAGAGTGTCTATCATAAAGCACATTATAAACTATAATTCGTACTGGCCAGTTTTAAATTGTATACGGCCGTAAAATAAAAATTGCCAAAAAAGGAATCAACTAAAATGCTAATTTCTATTATTAAATTGCATTCATCTATTGAAAATAGGGACAACACTAGAAGTTGAGGCATTCGCAGAGTAAGCACAAATGTATGAAGCATGAACTGTATGAAGCCATGCATAATGCTCACCAATAATGATAAAAAATATGTAAAATATTTGTATTAAAAATTTTACTTTGGTGAATACAAATTGTAGGTAAAAGAAATAATGTTAAATAAGTATAGGATGAAAGGAACCATAAACATTAATAAGAAAAATCATAAATAAAACAACATAAAAACAAAATGAAGCACTGCACACACGACATTAAATACACAAAAACAAGTTCGCGTGATTTTAACAACAAAATGACGTTTCATTATTGCGTAGGTACTTAATTATCAGACTCATTATTGTAATTAATTACGCCTTGTATAAAAGGTTGTAACATTATTGTAACAAATATTTGTTTATGGAAATTTCTACATTCTTATTGTTGTGATTCATCACTCACCCCGATAGGTAGGTATGTCATACATTGGCTTTTAGACTATGATAAAATTAGAATCGTCATATTATAAATGTATTTTAAACCTGCTGCAGACTACTACATACAATGACTTCTTCAGTTTTTTTCTAAAACCGTCCATACTTTATTTCTGATCTTTTCTGATGTGATGTCAAAGATATCACGATAATGATAAAAAAGATTGTGTCATCCTCTTCAAGTACAGTGAAACAGTGTACGTACTGACTGGCAAACATTAGTTAACGAAATCTTCCCTGAAATAACATTAAGGACCCAAAAACAAATACGTAGGTACGAGGGGCTAATACTAATATTCTTTAAAAAAAAAGTCATAATAAGGTCGTGTGTGCAGCGAGCGAATGCAAAAGCGTGTTACCGCGGGCCTGTATGGGGTTCTCACGTGCAGTTGCGCCGGCGCATGCGGATGCTTCCTGTGGGCCGCGTGTTGCTCATAGTGTGCGCACTCCTCCAGCCTCGTGACTCCCGCCAGCCGGTAACGATGCAGTTCTGCTAGGCGCACGCGCAATTCGCGTTCCCGCCATAGCCCGCCTACGACCGCGGCTTGCTCGGACCGCCCGTAGAATTGGGCCGACCAGCGGAGGCGCTCGGTGAATTCCCTGTTTTAGATTGTTTATTAGCGTTGGACATTACAAGGATCAACATATAGTTCCAAAATACTGAACTGTCCTATGCATGACATTGACAGTGGGGCGCCACCGTCAATACCGGATCGCTGGTTCCGATTTTTGCCATGTTTGAAACCATATAGTTGAACGATGGTAGCGCCCTCCTGTCATTGAGTTTGGTGGGACAGTTCAGCATGGGTCATCTATAGGAGGCCTTCTTAGATCATAAATAAAATAATTGACAGTGGGGCAGTGACACAATTTGTGTAATCTATGTTGATCATGAAACAAAAATAAGTTTTCTAATTAGAGTAAAAATCTAAGTGAACTGCATTATTGAGTATAAAATAAAGTTATGTAAATAAGGTGAATAAATCATACTAAATTAGGATGAGTAATTAAAATCTAACTAAGCTATGACTATGAAAATTTTAAAGCAATTTAAGGTAATATCATTTGTTTATGACGGCTGTAATTTCATGTAAATTTTAAACTTACTTTTTCTCTTTGGCGAGTTTACCAAGTGTCTTTTGTTTGTTTCTTTGATTATTGAAAAATACAGAAACAAGTTGGAAGTCTCGTACAAGTCTTTTTCTTCTTGTCCTCTCCCGTAATCGGCGAATGTAAATATCTACTTGGGATAATTTTAATGCTGAAAAGACCAAAATATACTTTAGGTTGCATGGAATCTGCAAGAGCTAAAAGTGTTCCCAAAGCAGTTAAATTGTTGTTTTAGACCCTATCCAGGACTACTTACCAACATCTAACTCATCATCTTCAGAGTTAAGAGAAAGTGTCGATACTAACTGCTCTGCCTCATGATCATGTTCCTGAAAACAGGTCTTCATTGAAACAGTAGAAATAGCAGACACCATTGGTAACTAATAAACTATTCTGCAATAGACACAGTAATCTTTATTATATGGCCTTTAAATAATAGTTACCCGTTCAAAATCATCTCTGTTGGGCATGTATCCAAGTTGTGCCGCCTCATCTGATGTGACAGCAAGGTGAGGTAGTCTGGACACTGCGTTTGGTCCAAGAGGGCCATCGTCTTTATCAGCGCAGTGCAAAGACGGTCGGGATGTGCTCTCAACATTGCCCCAAGTTGCTCGTCCAATACTGCCTTCCAGATATCTTGTGATATATTCATCTTTTGCCTCTGTCATTCACAAATAAATAGTTCGTTAACAATAGTACTTATTTTTAGATACAATAAAAAGCTACATGTTAAATTCTTTTATAATTTTTACCTTCTGGTGTCCGTGTTTCAATGTGTTTAGCTATATCTTCCCAATTACCGAAACCAAATTGTTCTATAGCATCCAATAATCTTACTTCTTCGTTAGCAGACCAATTACTACGCCCCAAAAATATTCCAAATGCTCCTGAGTCCTAAAAGGAATAATTTTAGTGTAATGTGTGTCTGCTAAAAATGTAGCAAATGCAGTCAAAACTTAATAATTTGTTTACCATATACTGATAGGAATGGTCATTTTTATGTGATCCTATTTCAGCACCCAACGAAAAACACTGAAAAAAATTAAATTTATTATTTTCTATGCACCGTTTCAAAATTTTGCGCCAAAATCATAAACAAAAATGGCATTCAGGCACTTACCTGCAAACAAATATCAAAGTCAATACACTCGGCACATCTCACGCGAATCCCATTTATTTCTTCTTGGCAATATGTACAATTATATTTAGCGTATAAATCTGAAAACGACATGATTACACTAACGCTGAAACAATAAATAATTTCGATCGTTGGCAAATGTCGAATAGACGCAAATTTACACAGCCACGGCCATTTTTTCATAGACAACCAAAAACCAGAGACAAGACAATTCTAAACTATGATGGCGGTAGTAAAGTAAAGGACCCTGCACACTGCTTTAACGCCAAACTGTCTATGATCGATACGATGATGATACGATGTCTAATTTTTATTCCGAAATGCAACCATCACTATTTCTTGAATTCATTTTTTATCTGTGGCGTGGAAATAAACGTCAATCAAATTTTACTGTGTGTGTTGTCAAAAAAATTCGATTGTGTATTTTGGTTTTATTTTAACATCAGTCAATGGTTTCATTAATTTTAATTTTGCAGAAATAAAACCTTCATTTATTCCCCTAAACACATACTTTTCTCAAGTTGAACTGAGATTGCACACATGCTAATGGATAAGTGATTGCTGAAAAGCATTTTGCCAGGCTTGTTCTTCGACCATGAAATCGAGCAAACGAAGACTCCAGGCGCTCACAGAAGGATCCGATGGAATGCCGAATTATCTCAAGATGGAAGACTCTGAGACGTCCATTCCGCCAGTATTCAGATCTCGACTGCACGAACTGTTTTCGCAGATAGAAAAAGAATTTGACCTTCTTTACACTGAGAATCTAAATCGTAAGTCAAATAATGATAAATAATGTAGTCACTGTTTACCTTTTAGATTTTATAGACTGTGCGTTCAGTTTTTATAAACACAAATTTTATTGTTTTAGTACAAGAGAAAATAGATATATTGAGTGAGAAGTTGGAGAGAGAGAGCTATGTAGGGGACAGACAGAACTTGGATTACATTGAATTTGAAACCAGCGGAAAGAACTCCAAAGTGAAATGTGAGTATTATTCAGATAGTTGAAAACATTTCAAAATTTGTAACTCTTGGTAACTTTCTATGGTCATTATTATTGGTCTTATTTGCCTTTCATTGTACTGCTGCCGGCCTAGCTGCTAGCTGTGATGAAATTGCTTTAGGAAACCAGAAATTATTCAATTAATCACCAATGTATAGCAAGATTATAATTTTGATATTTTTAGTGTCACAAAGCAATTCTCAAAAAGTCAAAGCGAGTCACAAGCTTCGAGTGCAAACAAGCAAAATTGTATCCAGTTTCAAAGCTCCGACATACAACTGCCAGCTCGTCAGAGAGTTCACCGGACACAAGGATGGCATATGGGACGTCTCTACTGCCCGACCGGGACAGGCGCTTATTGGAACAGCATCTGCAGGTAATTAATTACATATTATTTAATTGCGATTGAACTGAATAACACTAGTTATAACACTGCCAATTAGTCATGAAGAAATATTGATTAATTTCATCAAATATTATAACTAAATTGGTTGTACAATATGTTAATATTAATTATTAATTGTATAACTTTGTTAAATAGATCACACCGCCTGTGTTTGGAGTGTGGAGTGGGGAAAATGCCTCTTACAGTACACAGGCCACCAGGGTTCTGTGAACTCAATCCGTTTTCACCCATCCCGTGACATTGCCCTCACCAGCAGTGGCGACAATACTGCTCATGTATGGCAAGCTGCTGTCAATTGGGATTTGCCGGTAATCCATTTTAAGCTTGATTATCCAAGTATTGTGTAAACTTAAGCAATCAGAAATTATGTAAATACTGCACAATAAGTAGAAAGTACAGTTAATAAGCTGCTGTATTCAGTAAGTAAATAAATACAGAATTTAAATAAACAACATTTATCTATCTGTGGTTACATACTATTATGAACTTGATTGTAACAATAACAAATCACCTCCACTTTCTTTTCAAGCGTGGTCAATCCTCCGAAGAGGAACTCGAAGGTGGTGGTGAAGAGAGCCTGGGAGAAGGTGGCGAGAGGCCAGAGGTGCTCCGCACTCCTCTCACAGAGCTGACAGGCCACCAAGGTGTGGTGGTGGCCGCCGACTGGCTCACGGGCGGCGATCACGTCATCACTGCCTCTTGGGACCGCACGGCCAACTTGTATGACGTGGAAACTGGGGACTGTTTGCAAGTTCTTACAGGTAAATAAATTGCATGAGCATGAGCACAGACCTGTGGCACAGACAAGTTCCAAAAACCGTCTTCTTTTTCATTTGTTCCAAAAACCAGCCTTGTCTTGCATAAAAAAAAACTTTGTTTATGGGCTTCTGTCCCTAATAAACACTTAGCATTATATTTTCTATTTTTCTTGACATTGATACCACTTTTAGGGTGATTAATTATGTTTGCGTCATAGATATAATGCTCGTCATTTCCGCCAAATGAAATCTCCATCATTGAAATAGTGACAAAAATTACTAGTCTAATAGCCAGGATATTATTATGAGTGCTTGACTGATCAATTTTGATAAAAAAATGCAACCATTACAAAAGCTACACTATAAATATTTATGAACCATCGAAATTATAGAAACAATCTTTTGCAACTTTAGCTTGACCTCATTAATATGTGATGTTGTGCAAACTGTATTGGCCTTTACTGGCTGTCTGTCAGTCTCCCAATAATGCCAAGATATTGAAACTACTTTCAAATATCACAAATGCTTCTTTGCTTGCTCATTTAATAATCTTTCGTAGTCTTTGCCTTACTATTGTTAAAGTTAGCCCGGTAGTGTAATCGGACACTTCGAGTTCACACTTTAGAACACACTAAGCCGTTTGACTCGGACAGAACCGACAACAATCGGAAGTCGGGCGAGTCTAGGCGAAACGAGGTAGGTACACTGTGAAGTGTGTGTCTACAGTGTAGACTAAACTATTTACTTCTGCCAACTTAGCAAGATATTATGTTCTGCATCAACCATTTGTGACTAAATTTCTTCTGTCACTTCTCAGCACCAACCCATAAAATATGTCGTATACAAATAAATATTTTGTTTTTGCCCAGGCCACGACCACGAGCTGACGCACGCGTCGGCCCACCACAGCTCGCGTCTGGTGGTCACGGCGTCTCGGGACACCACTTTCCGTCTGTGGGACTTCCGCGAGCCGATCCACTCGGTGTCCGTGTTCCAGGGACATACTGAGTAAGTATGGTTCAAGATGGGAATAAACGCTCAACAGTACATCAGACTATAATCTTCTAAATTATGTAACTCAAAGGTGACTGACATAGTGATCTATCAACGCACAGCCCAAACCACTGGACGGATCGGGCTGAAATTTGGCATGCAGGTAGATGTTATGACGTAGGCATCCGTACCACAGTGTTTAGCTTGATGTGGCGTTGTCTGTTCATATATTAACAAGCTTTATTTTGAGTATCAAGTTTTGTTTTCGAGTTTAATTTTATTTATTTATTTTATTTGGTGCACAAAACAGGGATACAACCATAACATACAAAGCGTTTAAAGCAGATTATACAGTATAACTTGTTACAGCTCCAATAACAAGTGCACACAACCACAAAACACAACATACAAATCGAGTTAACAATATACATAAATAATAAATAAATAAAAATAAATAATGTGAATATATCTTTTGTTAAATGAATAAATGTTATCTTTTCTTACAGGAGTGTAACATCAGCAGTATTTACGCGAGAAGACAAAGTCGTGTCTGGTTCTGATGATCGATCTGTGAAGGTATGAAATTAAAATTATTTATGAAAATATTAAAATCTAGTTCAGTCTAAACCACCTATATCAGTCACTAGTTGTGACCACAGTAATGTATTTGTACACTACACAGGTATGGGACGTCCGCAACATGCGCTCAGCCCTAGCCACGATCCGTTCGGACTCGTCGGTCAACCGGGTCGGCGTGAGCAGCGGCGGGCTCATTGCCATCCCGCACGACAACCGCCAAGTCCGGCTGTTTGATCTGCAAGGCCAGAGGCTGGCCAGACTTCCGCGCTCTAGCAGACAGGTTGGTAACCGGTGGTTACAGAAACGGTGAAAGTTGTAACCTGTAGTTACAGAATAGGATATGCAAGATTTATTTATTCTCATGTTCAGTAGCATTGGCATTAGGGTAGTTCTACAAATCAGGGAATTTTACGGGGCTCAACTTGCAGCTCCTTAAATTACCAATTAATAGTTCTCGTTTTAGGGTATTAATAAAGTTTAACTCACATAGTACTTGGTCACTGAATTTCAACACGTTTTAATAAAAACATCCCAGACAAAAATGGCTTCAAATGGGAAAAATTCTCATTTCCCTGTGGGGTGACATTCCAGAATTCATGATGTAAATCACAAAAAAAAATATATAAAAATATAATTAGTCAAAAATAACATTGCATTGAAAGTAACCATTAGTGTATCTTTCATTTAACCTATATGGATTATGTTTGAATTCCCTATTTACATAATTTTTTGATTGCTGAACAAAGGCGACACGAATTAAGTATCACTTCCCTGTCACCTATAAACACGTTAAAATCTGTAACAAAACAAAGGGTAAGCCACGTTGTCGTTCTCATGTATTTAAGTATGCAGTTAAGTTCGCCTAGTGAAACGTTTATTTCGCCCAAATCGTCAGTCAGTTAGACGCAGCTACGCTGTTATCATCGTCTGTCGTGTCTGGGCCAGACAACTTCTCACTCATCTGTTACGTATTTATAACAGTATTTTATATTATTTTAGGGCAATTATGAAACAATATTGTCAAACTCGCTTGCGTCCATTGAATGATAATATTAAATTTGATATGAAGTTTATATAATTCATGATTTTGGCAAAATACATCAAAAATCTCACTTTCCTGTGTATCATTTCCCTGTGTTTACGAAGAAAATGGAAAAGTTAATAACGACTAACCAGCAAAACTTACTGCCAAATAAAGGCATTTTACAAATACACTAAGTGCAGGCAATGAGGATCATTTCGATTTTTAGCTGTGAATGCAGATTTATAGGGCTAAGAAATCCTTAATACACAGTCCAAAAATTTTTGTTCTACGACAAAAATTGACGAAGTTATGGCCAAATTACTAAAAAAGTTCACTGACCGCCCGGCGCGGGACCGTTGACGTCACTGTATCCGATCCGAACGCTGCCGGCGTACTGCGTGGATAGAAAATATTTTTTTCTAGCCAAACTATCAGTTTGAGAGAAAAACTTGTAATGACATATATTCATCAGAATAAAGTAAGCTATCGATAGGTAATTTTAAAAATAGAAATTGTGAAAAATAACGCAAAAAATCCATACGCTCATACGATTCAATGGAACGCAGAGACGCGATTGGGGTCTCCGCGGTGGTATATTTGGCGATTTATTCAAATAAAGTGTTCATAAGTGTTGTNCGAATTGTTTCCAGTCGAAGAAAAGCGTCGAGGAAAGAAGAGGAAGATAATAGAAGGAGATACGAATAGTAGGGAAAAGTCAAAGAGATCAGGTGACGGAAAAAGAAGCAACCTAAATGAGTTCCATGTTCAATTGATAGTGGACCTTTATGATGCACATAAAAGTATTTTTTATTATTTTTGGAATAAAGACTATAAACTCAAATGCATATTTCAGTTAAATTTTCACTATCCTGTATATGTTCTCACTTCCCTGTCCATCGAAAATAGAAAAACCGCTATAAAATCAATATTTATCATAATTTTGTCTGGCCCGTTAAAAATTGGATATGTTGTAGTATATTCTCGGTCTTTAGTCACTGTTTATTCTGATTACTAACAAAAACTGGAGATTCATTTTATGGTCCTAAATAATTCCACCGTGAGTAGAACTACCCATTATCAAATTAGAGCTTTTTAGAACAAAAAAAGTACTAAAAAAACTCCCAAATTTTTATTTATTAAATAAATTAAAATGTGTAATTAATTATAATCTTTTTGCTTCCAGGGTCACCGCCGCATGGTGACGTCGGTTTCGTGGGCCGAAGACATATCTTCAAACATTAACTTCTTCAGCTGCGGTTTCGACCGCCGCATCCTCGGCTGGTCCATCCAGCCCTCCAAGGAGAACTGAACCTTAATCCTAGCACCCAAAGGCACGTTATCGCTAGTTAACTCTGTACAGGTATATTATCCTCGATTATTTAAACATTGTAGTCTGTAACGCGGATTGGAATTCAGCTTTTGACTTGTACTAAAGATACTATTTCTTGAAAGTATGGGTGATTGTGAAATCTATTTGGATCTTCTCTTGCTCAGACGCTTATGGATTGAATTACATAACAATTTATTTGTGTTGGAGTAGAAACGCATAATTATTATCATAATAACAATAGCGTACCACCCAGAAATGTGACACGTTGGGAGCAGTATGGTACTAGGCTTTATAATACACCAGAATCTCCCATTCTTCGGAATTGATTTTGAAATATCCGTCACTCTCACTCACCTTGGGTGCAGGTATGAGTGAGAGAAACGAAAATGGTTTTCATTCGAAAAATGTTATAAGTATACTTAGTATTGTACTGCAAATCCCAGTCGCGCAATATTGTCCCCAAATAAGTATTGTGTGTTAAAAATAAACAGAAGTTTGAGAGTATGTAGATTATTATGCAAGAATATTAAATTAACGAATATCGTATTAACAACTATATTTTAATATTGCATGCAATTTCTCATTCTCATTTTCTATGTTTCTTTAGTGTCTTTGACTATATTTCTTGCAAACAATGATTAATTATTACACCTACGAATATAAAGCACAAAGGTAACAGATTGTTGTCTACTTTAAGTATATTGTTGGTTTTTAGTAGTTTATTAATGTTCTAGATTCGTTTGTTCGTCCATGATACGGTAGTATATTTAAATTACGTGGGTTGTTGGTAATGTATTCATAATTTTAAGCACCGGACCACTGGTTTCGGTTCACTAATCATTTTATTAGATGTGATTTTATCGATTAATAAACAATATAATTATAATTGTATAGCTGGTTGGTAATTGCGTGTTTTTAATTACTGTATGCCCACTCCAAGGTGATTAAATTTTATTTCATACCTTGTTTAACTCGAACAATTTTATCGTACTATTTTTAAAGTTTTACATTTCAACTTTAATCAAGATTATGTATTGTGATCGTGAAACACTCAATTTCTTTTTACTATTTTATGGCTTATGTTGTAATTCTATTATACTGTTTAACAAAAAGAACATCTACTGTCCTAACTCTGTATCAACGTATTATTAATGTAACATATCTTTAGGAGTACCAGTGTGTTACTTAACTATGTATTAAAATCTATTGTCTAGCTAGTCAGTTCATTTCATAGGCCAAAGATAATTCCCATGCTCTTTTTAGTATTTCATGAATCTTTTTGACTGTTCAATTCAGCGTTGCCAGACGTCCTGATTTTGGCGGGACGTCCCGATTTTTAGATCAAATTTAAATGTCCCGCGCGGGACAGACTCGGTCCCGCTTTTCGGAGAGAGACACTCACTTCACCAGACTATTGTTTGAAACGCCATATTATTCTAAAGAATATTTTTTTTTATTTAGATTTGTTTTTATTTTCTTTTTTTATTCTAAAGACGAATTTAAAATACATTTTCTATGGCTACTTTGCTATCTATTGTCACGTAAACGTAATTTAAAGTCAAATAAAAAGATAAATATTTCAAAACCTTTGATTTACGTTTTTTTACTATGTCCCGCTTCTGACGGAAGAATCCCGCTATTTTCACTCAAAAAGTACCAAAGTCCCGACTTGGCGAAAAAAAAAACTGGCAACGCTGCTGTTCATGCATACATAACTAGAATCGAAAACATCACATATCAGCTAACAGATTTTGGTTTGGAAGATATGGTAATATTTATGGTATTGCTTGCTTAGCATATTTGCTGTCGAATATTAATATTTAAAACATGGTTTATTAAAATAATAAATGTAAATAGGTATTGGTTTCATTGGCTATGTTATGGTTGTGCCAAAAGATTGCTAAACATATTATGGTATGTATTAATACATGTTATTCTTATTTTAATTATGCAAAGTATTATATTGTATGTGCACAGAAAACAATTTGTTCAGAACTTTGTATAGAATTTGGAAAATTTTATGCACTAACTATGAATCCACCCTTTGTAGACTTTTTTCATCTTCTAATTTCTTAAACAGATTAAGAGCTCTTTAAGATTGGCGTTTTTTCAGTGTTCGTAAGCTTGTAGTATCACATCTTCTAAAATTACACAGTGTATTTCGCAAATGAAACATCACGAGACGCGTTGTGCGATCGAACTTTCAGTACGTGTGTGCCTCCTACATGTACGTAAGTACGCGAGCCACATAGGAGCCTTCGCGTGAATCAGTATTTTTTTACTATAACATATTCCTTTGGATTATTTGCACAGAAAGAACGCTAATCCGAAAGAGCCTTTAAGTTCGTCCCCAGTTCTCATATGAATAAGGATTTTAGACACACTTTTTTAGGTTCTAGTCACGTATTTTGTTTTCAGATGTCTTTTTTTAGATTTTCTTGATCAAGTTTGTCCATTCCAAATGCTGTGTCATCCATATCCTTAAAAGTTTTTCGGCTTATATTATTTAATCATAGCAAAGTTTACACAATAATTGAGTAAATTGTTTTATTTAAATTGTATAATATCAAAGATCTATAGATACTTATTTTACTATAAAATTATCATATTACTAGTATTGTGGTGTCCGTATCCATGTAGTGTAATAAACATGTTTAATAAATATCTATGCATATATTTATGTATAAGTGATGAATGATAATAATTATAATGGAACTATCACTCGTTGAATACCTTCTAAAATGATCTGAATATTTTTGTTATGCCGATTATGGTATGAAATATATGAATGGTAAAAAATATTATGGCTTTATTCTTTGAAACCTTTAAGTACCTACGTAACCTTTTTAATTATTTGATTAATTATGTAGGCTCGTAATAGCAGTAATTACAAATAGCGGTTGTTCCGCCCCTGCTGTGTTATTTACAACATTACACATAGGGGAATAATGTTACATCTCATGATCTCACAGATATTTTACACACAAAAATAATGTATAATGTATAATAACTAATATCTCTACAAGTACCTAAAATCTGTTACAAACCAACGCCATCTACACTCAACATCAAATAAACCGCACATTTCGCGACGCGAACTTTAAAGATTTTCTTCTGACACAATAATGGTGCCCCAACAATATTGGTGTTATTTGAAAGCCCAATAAATATCCTTAAAGAAAAACACATTTAATCTAAATAAATGATTAACATATATCTACCATAAATGTGATTTGAAAAAAGACCTCACTTTGGGCTTACCTCTGGGATCAATTAGACCAATTTTTATGGTTATAAAACCAAATAATGATCTCACGTGTCCTGTTTAACAGATGGATAGCGAAGCGATTAATCCCAACTTAACAGTTTTATAGCCATAAAAGTTGGCTCAAGCGTAACTACCTATTTTTTGAAGAAGTGACTCTGGATCCTTCTAACGACACATTTTTGGGGTAAAAACCTTTCCTTTAATGAAATGAAGTTTAAAACTAGGCTTTTAAATGGTGCCAATATTGGTGGGAAGTGGGGATGCATACGTTTGAAAGTGCTTGTCGCGAGAGGTGCGATTTATTTGATGTCGAGTGTAGTTTTCTTTTTTTTTTTATGGCAATCCGCGCAGTATGCGCCGTGCCAGAGTCATGAAGCTTAGCTTCATGGCCAGCCAGAGTCGAGTAAAACGGGGAAACGGGGAGATTAAAATATTTTCGGCAACGGATTTAAATTTAGGAAATTAGGATCAGGAGAGGACATAGGATATAGGTAACTACTACTAGTACTAAATACATAACGACTAAAATATTAAATACAAGAACAACAGGTTTATAGTAGTAACTGGTACCTAGTTACATAATTTTTCTAGCTATATTAGGGTTCCGTACAGTGGCGGCGTAGTATGAGTTGACACCGTAGATATTGACACCCGAGGCGGGGGTAACGCACCATTTCTCTATGTAACGCACCCCAGAATGGTTGGTGCCCCCCAGGATTTTGGCGTAACCGATTCGAAGATGAAAGATAAATAATGAGGGCTATCGTTTTTATACTTAACAGTTGGCACCTCTGGCGATTGACAGGACCTTACTCTACAGTGGCGCCATCTTGATGAGTGCAAATGCGATAGTCCTCCTATCACTTTAGCGCTCACCAGTTGGTGCCACTGTCTTCGCTAGTAGTAAGTGACAGGACCTTACTCTACAGTGGCGCTAACTGGTGAGCGCTAAAACGATAGCCCTCATTATCCTTGGACATTTTTCGTCCTTGCCATACAGATGCGCCAGTGAGTAGTAATCTGCAAAACTGTTGTCACCCCCTGATGCATGGCCGCTACTGGCTCCGTACTACCCTACCCATTACCCATTTACCTATCATACCATTATTATAATACTGTCTGTATTCTCGTGAAACCGTGATAGCTAGCCTTTTTTTATGCAGGACAAGGCAGGTATTTGACCGCAATTGTACCTGGTGTAAAGTAAGAACAGTCCTAGGATGCTGGATGGTACATATTATCTGCCCTGTAAATGCCTATCCACTCTCGCCTTGAAAAGGCCTGGATTATAGACTAGTGTTTAGGTTAGGTACGGTTAATGTGATAAATTGAAAATTATTAATAATAACCGGTTATTATGAATAATTACCGACAGTCGCGGTAAAAGTGATAAATTAATCACATTTAACAGTGATTATTTCATAAATCAACCTTAGTACTAACAAATTTCATAAAAGAGAACAACATCTTGTGTACGTGCACGTGTACAGCCAAATTTTTGAACGTTTTGATATCATATATTAATATAATTTGGCATAATGAGTTTGGAATGTTTCTTGCATAACATAATATTACTTTTCCATGATGCCTATAACATAATATTTTAATTTAAAGTGAAAAATAGGTTAAGGTGCGGCGGGGGTGGCCCTTGGGCCACCCCTAACCCTAAGCCGCCTATTTAGTTTTATACACACATAAATGACCCCATATTAATCACATTTACCAAATCATGTGGTAATTATTCATCATAATCGGCGATTATTCATAATTTTCACATTTATCACTTTGACCGTAACATATTTAAGACTGATGATTTATTTCTGATGCCGCTTTATTTAGCAACAAAAACTAAAAACAGAATAAAAGAAATATTTAAGTGGGGGCGGGGCTTCGGCACAGCTCCGGGCTCCCATACACAGCAAACCCAGTGTTGCCAGTCGGGTCTAGTCAGAAATTACCAGAAATATAAAAAAAAAGTAACCTTTTTGAATAAAAAGTAACCTTCATACGGGGGGAGGGGGGGGGGGGGTGCGGAGCGATGATTGTGTAAGAGGTTGTTCATGGATGGAAAATGAATACAATTGATCATCTAAATTCGAAAAGTGACCAGTCGTATAAAAACGTTTCATGGATTTGCGTTTTATTATTATTTTTTAACAAATAATAAATCAAATTCAAGTTTAAATGCACTTTATGACATAATTTTTAAATTGTCACTATTAATATTTTTTACTGAATAACCTGTAAAGTTAATTCTACAATTTCTGAAAAATCACCTAAAAGTAACCTTTTCATTAGTGTAACCTAAAAGTAACCACTGCAGTTCAAAAGTAACCTAAAAGGTTACAAAAGTAACCTTCTGGCAACACTGAGCAAACCTGACTTTTTTGCTCGAAAATATAGATGACCCAGGCTGAACTGTCCCACCAAACTCAATGACAGGGGGGCGCTACCATCGTTCAACTATATGGTTTCCAACATGGCAAAAATCGGAACCAGCGATCCGGTATTGACGGTGGCGCCCCACTGTCAATGTCATGCATAGGACAGTTCAGTATTTTGGAACTATATTATCTTTAGGTACAGAATAGTAAATTTTTAAATGATGTATCGTACGGAACCCTTGGTGAGTGAGTCCGGCTCGCGCTTGTATTTAATTTTTGTATTATTTTTTATTTAAAAAATGTGTTTTCATATTTTTACTCCCACATCCACATTATTTACGCGATTATGAAGGTCGAAGAACACTTATCTACTCGGAAGGGGTTAAATAAAGAATTTATTCCGAATAATTGAATACCATTACGATAAATACGATTAATTGACAGTTAAAAAATTTTTTTATCCATCTCTAGTGATATTGATTTTAGTCCCTCCCTTGCCTTCCATTTTTCTTCGGGAATTTCGGATTGGTTGAATTTGTGATTTGTTTGTTTTTGCAGTTGCAGCAAAATTTTGTAGGTACCTACTTGTAATGTGTAATTCGTTACATGGATTAGATACATAGTTTTGGGGAAAAGGATAGGTATCCAACACAATGGACGAGCTACGTGCGTTTTTCAACAACCCATGCCCGTCGAGCGCCCAAGTTACCAAACTTCGTGGTCCTCTTACAAACGGCATGAGGATCACCAAGGAAGATACAACAAACCTCATGAATCGCCGTGAAGATCATCGGCATTCAATAGTACCAAGCGGTACAGATTACGCCCGCGAAGTCAAAGAGAGGGAAACAAACATGTATTTACGGGTATGTAACTTGTATCGCTTTTTTATTTGCCGGCACTTTAAGCGAATTCCGGTTAGGGTGTAGCAAAGGGAGAGTCCGAGACATAGCCGAATTTTCGAGCGTAATTTGTATGGCGCCGACACACGGTNCGCAATTACCCTACTTAAAATATGACATGTTGCCACTTGTCTAGGGGTCAGATCCGACCGCACCATGAATTTAAAAGCAACGATATTCTCTCCAATGTGTTTTACCAGGTAGATTTAAAAAGTAGGCTTCGAATAAGGTAAGTGTTTAATAAACGTTTTATTTTCATGTAAAACGTCGCTAATAAACAGTACCGTTACCTATTCGAAGCATTTTATAATGAGAGATCGTGTCTATTATCTCCAGGTGGCGCTGTGTAATCGCCAATGTGATCAATTTAAGAATAAGACATTGATCAGTGAGAAATGTTATGAATTAGTTAGAACCTAAATAAAATTGTTGAATATTTAGGTGGATACGCCTATCTGTCTACCGAGTGGTAATGTAGGTACTGTGTGCCTAGGTATATTATAATATTTTACAGAATGCAACCTGCATCTGCATCTCCAAAGAGTCTGTCTGCTGAGCTTAGATGACGATGATTTACATTGTTCGAGTAAAAGCACGAGCACCACACGTATCGAGGGTTCTACTAAACTGACTGTATCGAAAGGTTTGCAAGCTACTCGCTAGATGGCATAATCTTCTCGAATTTAGTCCCAAAACTTGTCATAGAGGGCATTAGTAGGTTTGTAGGTCGGTTTTCAGCTCCTGAAAGTTGCCTACTTCATCCATCCCTTCATATCTCGTAATAGCACAGTAATAGATTGAAGTTATTTGTTCATTTGAATGTTACGAAAGTTCCGTTTTGAGAATTTAAAGAAATCATTTTTTTAAATTAATATTTTTGGATTGTTAGTCAAGTATTGAGGTTAATGATGCCTTAATGAAGTTGAAAACGATTTTTAACTACGAATGTGCTGAATAAACAAGATTCCTGATATTAAAATAGGTAGCGGACCAGCAAAATATTACGTACCTAACTATGTAGAGCAGTGGTTCCCAAAGTTGTCTGGGCTACGACGACTCATCTACACTAAATTATAAAGAGGAAAACTTTGTTTGTTTGTTTGGTTGTAATGAATAGGCTCAAAAACTACTGGACTGTTTTTAAAAATTCTTTCGCCATTCGAAAGCTACTTTATCCATGAGTAACATAGGCTAAATTTTATTTTGGAAAAAATAGGGTTCCGTAAAATATGTAGATAATGTAGT